GGGGGGCAGCTACCTGCTGCTCAGGCTGCCGGCTCACAGGTCTCTCTGCCCCCAGCCACCCGGAGGAAGCTGTTTGAACTGGCCAGGGCCTTCTCAGAGAAGACCAAGATGAGGAAGTCGAAGAGGAAACACTTGCTGAAGCATCACTCGTATCCCTTCCAGCCTGGCACAGGATGGGGGTGGTGGATGCTACTAAGGGCATCGAAACTTTGGGCTGGACTCCCTGGGGCTGCAGCCTCCCTACCAGCAGACTGGGCCCTGGGGTCCTCCCCCTCCACCCCGAGCCTTGCTGCCACCCCGCTGCCCCGTCTCCTGGCGCCACTCTTGACCGCCACCACCAGGCGCGGGGAGCAGGCCAGTGTAGGTCCACTGTAGGCTCAGAAGTTGTCCTGCAACTTCTTAATTTTTGTTTGCGGTAATCTACATTTTGGGAGAAAACTTGGTTCTTCCATTGAAATCACCAAACCTCCCCCTAATTTCTTAAGTTGACTCGATCCACAGACCTTTCCACCTCATTTCAAGCATATTGCCCTCTCACTTTTAGTTCTTCCAGTAAAATCAGGTTCCCCACAGTTCTACCCAGACTCCCACCCTTGCTTGTCAAACAGGGCCCAGGATATTAGAAGCTGAACAGCCAAAAGGGTACAGGGAGAAAGTTGCTTCTCTGTCCCCAGAGATGGGAGCCGAGGGAGAGAGTCAGGGCCTGGCTGCTCAGTTGACCCCAAGAAGAAGAGCCTGCGAGAAGTATTGGGGAATGTGGGGGGGTACGGTTGGCCTGGTGGAAACCTCCTGGGCTTGGAGCGGGTGGTTAAAGGCTGGGGACAGGGAGTGGGTAGACGTGGGAGCACTGTGGCCCACCCATCCCTGGGACAGTTTTCCTGAACGGCCCGGCAGGCTGGGGGCTGCGGCATCAACAGCTAATCTCCTGGAGGACGTGGAGGGCCACGCTTGTGGTGAGGCAGGGAGGGCAGGGGACTGGAGCTCTGAGTTGCCTGTGACTGGCCCTCCAAGAAGAGGGCCCGGGCATTTCATAGGTGGACCCAAACCTGTCGGGGGTCGGGGGAACCCAAAGAAATAGGCCTGCCCACTTGGCCTATATTGCCTCTCCCTGCCCTCTACCCTTGAAAGGGGCTCTGGCCATATCTCCACCTAGATGTCTACCTGGAGCACAGAGAGCCAGGTGCTGTTTCTGGGAAATATTCTCTGGGTTTGAGGGTGCAGACAGGCCTACCCACCTGGAAGGGCCTCCCCTTGAGAACCAAGCGCTGGGCAGTTTCAGTCTCTGGGGCCCACAGGCCTTTCCGCGTTCATTCAGTCCCGCCCATGGCATGTGGGTCAGGAGACACTGCCTCAGACCTTCCCGGGCCCACAGCCACACCCTGATCCTCCTGCCTCTGGCAGAGGGGCCCTTTGGTGGTCAAGAGACATCCAGAAACAAGGACTAGAAGGGCCTGATGGTCATCTGGACAGTTCATCTTCCCCATCCATTTTATAGATGAGGAAACTGAGGGAAGAAATTGCCCAAGGTCTCAGAGCCCAGTGATGGAGCCAGACCAGCAGCGGGTGTCCTAACCCTGCACCATGCCCCACTGCCTCTCACCAGACCCACGCATCACCCCTAGGGATCAGCGTGTGCCCCAGCAAACGAGGGGGGTGGAGAGACGGGGTCAGCCTGAGGGAGGGGACATGCCTGGGTGAGGCCCTGCAGGGTGGAGGATGAGGTACTGCCTCTGCTTTGCAGATGAGGACTTCCGGGGAAGGCGACAGGAGGTGCCCAAGGTGGAGGAAGCCCTAAGGGAAGGACAGTAAGAGGTAAGGTCTGGAGCCGCATGTGGTGGGGTGGTGGGGACTGCCCTGCCCCACCCCCCAGGTGTCTTCCCAGGGGTCCTGAGGCATCAGACGCAGCCACCTGGATAGTGCAGGTCCGGGGTTTCTTCCCTTGTCGCTGTGGCAGGGAACATGGGCTTCTGATGGGAACTAGTTTTTTTGCAGTTCTTTTTCCTGTTATTTATTCATTTGACAAAAGATAATCACACCTGCCTACGCCAGATGCTAGGAACAGGGGGCAAAAATCAGCTTTGACCTTGAATGGTTCACAGCACAGCTAGAAGAGTCCTGGACACACACAGCACATGGAGAGGACAATTTAAGAAAAACTGAGATGGCTGCACCCCGGCCATGTCCACAGAGAAGTCTCCTGTGGCCTGCTTGGCTTGGGTGGCGGAGGAGCAGCCACAGCCAGATGAGAACTGGGCCCTCTCTGGCGGGAGCCCGCGGCCCTCGGGCTGCCTCTCCTCCTCTCCTCCTGTGCATCCCTGGGGAGAAACAGGGAATGTCCACACCTCCTCCAGGGCTCAGTCCAACCTGTCCCTTTTCCAGCCCCTCACTTATCAGGAAGCCGCCTGCCCCCTCTTCCCCCAGCCGCTGTCCCGGTCCCAGTGGGCAGCACCTCCCAGGCTTTCTTGAGTTCACAGTGTGGCAGGTATGGGCTTGTTCCAGGCCATGCAGAAATACCGGCTACCCTCGGGGTGGTTGTAGCGGAGGGGAGAAACAAGTGTGCAGAGGACACAGCCCGGAACAGTACACACACTCTTTCTGCTCAGCCTGGGCTCTGGTTGACTCGCTGCCACATCCTCCACCAGGCGCTTCCAGACCCCTTCTGTTCTCTCAGGCTCTCCTCACCCACGTTGTTGCCCCCACCCTTCCCCCTTGTCCAGAATGCTGATATAACGCCAGCCAGGGAAGGGCCCCCCCCACACAGCGTTGCTGCCACCTCCTTCCCACCGGTCGCCAGGGGAAACGTGCCGGCCCAAAGCCACCCCCCATCAGGACCATGCTCATGACTTCGTTCTTTCCTGAGTATCCCAGGTTTCCCCCTTCCAGCTCCTTCCTTGAGTCTACATCCTCCTCCTCCTCTTAAAAACCAAGAGGCTTCAATATTTTCCTTCATCACCCAACTTGCAGAAAAGTGGAATCTTCCCACACCCACTGCAGGCAGCCAGCCCCTCCCATGACCCCTAGAGGGACTTCAGGTCACCTGCCAGGTCTGGGGCCTTTTCCTGTCCTGCGTCCTCTGTGCACTCTTCTGCAAACCGTGCCCATCATCTTCCCTGAAAGCGCCCTCCCTTGGCTCCTGTGGCCCCAGGAATCCCGGGCCCCCTTCCTCTCTGCTGTAGATTCTCTGTGTGCCTTTGGGGCTCCCATTGCTCCTCCCATTCCCTCAATCCCAGCTCTCCTAGTAGCTCTGCCCTTGACCATCTTTGAAGTCTCCTTACCCTCCACTCTCCCTAGCAGTGCCGCCACCCTTCTTTACAGCATCAGCAACACTTCTGTGAAGTTGGCTCCAAAATCTGAATCTCCATCTTAGTCAGGTCTCCGAATCCACTCCATATCCCCAGCTGTGCCCACGATGGCCTTTCTAGGCCTGGCTGTCAACTCACTGCAAGCCAGACAGCCCCCGTCCTGACTTCGCTGTTTCATTTTGCTTCCTTATTCCTTCCATCACTGCCCTGGGAGACTCTCATCACCTGGTTAACAGCTGCTAGTCCCGTCCCTGCCCCAGGTCTGTTCACTCATCACCAGGACACCACTTCAGTGCCATTTCTCCCCTGCTCCCTGAATGGGTCTTCTGAGGAAATGCTCATGAGCTTCTCAGTCTGGTGTGGGAGTCCCACCAAATTCTGACCTCATTTCTGCTGCTACAGGTGCCCTTGGTCTAGCTCAACTGAGCTGCTGCTGTATCACAGAACAGGCCAGGCACACACACACCCCCCCCGCCACCTCTCAGCCCTTCACAGGCAGCTGTTTCCCCCAAACCCGGCATTCCAGGCCCCCCAGTCCATCTCTAGCTGCCAGAATCCCTACTGTTCTGCAAGTTGGAATGTTTCTAGGAGCTCAGATTGGCGGCTGTGACCCCAGGCAGAATTCCAAGTCTGACATAGAGTCCCTGGGGGAAGGAGGGGGTCCTGTCTTAGGAAGCTTCTGCCCAAAACCATCTCTTCTGGAACCAGTGATGAGGAAAGACCACTGGCCTCCATTGAAAAAGACTTCTCCCATCCCGTTTCCTACCAGATGCCAGCAGTTCCTCCTTGCCGGAGACGATCTGACCCGGTGGAGGCAGCCCGAGAGCAGACCGGCCCCCAGCTGAGGAGCCCAGCTGCAGCCGGACAGATGGTGCTTGAGTTCTGAGGCCCAGTGATTCTCCGGCCACAGTCCAGCCTAGCCACTGCCACTGCCACTGCCACTTTCCATGGGACTTAGAACTTCAGAGTTGCATGCTGTGATTGGAGGAAGGACCTGAGGGTGGGGGGAGGGGCGACAGCCAACCACAGCCCCTTTTGTAGCCGGGCTGTTCTATGGGGAATGAGTGGAAATGCAGGATCTAACCTCTCTTCTTTAAAAAAAAAAATCCCAGGAAATAGGCAAAGGTTGGAGTTCCCGTAAGGGGATGATGACCCTTCCAGAAGCTCTCATTGGCCTGGAGGTGTAGCCCCTGCCTCCCTCCTGTCCTGGTCTCTCCTGCAGGGCTACAGACACTGCCTGATCCCCCTACCCCCATCCCCCACTCCCTTCTGGGCACCTTGGGCCATTTATTCCCATGGCCTCCTGCATCTCAGCCTTCCCCCGGGGTGCTGGCCCTCAGCACACCCCTGCACAGAGCTCTGGGTGAGAGAGCCCTGGGCAGTCACTCAGGCCCCCTCTGAGGAGTGATGGGCCACCACGGAGAGGTATCTGCTGGCCACCCTACCTGGGCCCCTCCGGCTGCTTCTGTTTGGGGCTGGCACAGGCCCCAGCAGGGATGGGGAGGCTGGCCACCCCGGAGCTGGAGGATTCCTCTGAGGCAGGGGTCGTCTTTACTTTGGCAGAAGACAAAAGCCAATTCTGGATGGGACCCTGCAGTCCCACGAGAGTAGGGGCGCAAGGGACTCCGGCTCCCCAGCTGGACTGGAGGTTCTGCTGTCACTCAGTGGGGGCAGCAGCCAGTTCTTTACCTGAGAAGGTGCAGGACTGAGGGGCAAGATGAAGAGGCTGCCAGCCTGGGCAGGAGCCCCTGGGGCGGAAGGGCTTGCTGGGCGCCCTGTGCCAAGACAGAGAAAGTAAATGGAAAAAGAAAACAACGGATCTACGAACCTGACCTGGCACCATCCACTGCTGACGGGAGGGAGGCTGCCTGGCCCTTCTGGCCTGCCATTGAGATGGGAAGGCGCTGACCTCAGGAGAACCAGGAAGCCTGGGCATGCAAGGCTCTGGCCTGGGCGAGGGGCCAGCCCAGCCAAGGGGCCTTGGGGCATTGGGAGTGGGCGCCAAGCCTTGGCTGGGAAGGGGGGGTGCTGATGGCCCCAAGTCACCCCGGGATAATGAGGGCGTGGCGGAGGCCAGGCGGATCTGAGTCGCCCCTCGCCCTGCGGTGCCGTAAGGGGCTCCTGGCCCGGGCTCCGCAGCCCGACCGACCAAGTGGAGCAGCGCAGCGAGGCTGCCTTCCTGCTCCCTGGGCCCTCGATGCCCCGATGACCCGCATTCAGAGGAGGCGGAGCCCCTGTCCCCGCCTGTGTATGTGTGGCTTCGTTAGTTTTTCTGTTTTCGTTTTTTCTCCTACGTGTGGGTTTTTCTTGGAGCTGTTTCATAGGAATTCGTGTAATAAAGACTTGGTGTTCTCTTGGTGCTCTGACGCGGCGGCGCGTGGGCTGACCCTCGTCTTCCTCCCCTCCCCTCCGCCGATCCCCAGGGCAGGTTGGGGCCCCGAGCCACTAGACGCACCCGCACCCGTGGCCACCTGCCTGGCCGGGCTGCGCCGCGCCAGCCCACAGCGCCCTCTCAGGTGACACCTGCTGCCCGCGCGGCGGCCTTCCTGTTTGCCCTGCGAAAGTCAACCGCTTGCTGACGGGCAAAGGAAACACCGGGTCTGTTGAAAGCTCCAGCCCGTCGCCTCCCTAAATAAACAGAAAGCTGCCGGAGTTAACGGCCGCTTGGAGGCCGCGGGGACCTGCAATCTCAGACTTCAAAGGGCCCGCAGAGGTCTTCCAGGTCAAATCTCTCTAGCTCGCCCCACTCCCCAGCTCGGCTGGGCTACTTCCCGCGCCAGGGAACTCACTGCCAAAAGAGGAGGCTGGTGCCCTTTCCAGACCCGGCGCTTCTCAAGGTTAAACAGTTCTTCCTGGTGTCTGCTTTAGGCCTCCTGTGGCTTCAACCCACACATCTTGTTTCTGGGCTCTTGGTCACCCAGGCCAAGTCATCGCTAGTCCCCTGATGCCGTGTTGGAGCTCGGGGGCCTCTCTCCTTCTGGATAAACAATGCAGGTTCCTCCTGCCTTCCTTACAAAGAGGTTTCACCCCAGCCCAACCCAGCCCAGCTCAGTTACACCACGGTGGGCTTGTAAATCGACACACCTGGACAGCTGGTGTCAAACTCCAGACCTGCTGTTTGAACCTGGGCAAACCAAGATTGTCCTCTAACCCCCCCCCCCCTATACATTCTTTACTGATAGCTGTGACCCAGTGTAACCCCCTGGGCATAGTGCCGGCACCTGGGACCTTGTTAGAAATGCCAGTCCTCAACCCAGCCCTGGACCTACTGAGTCAGAAATTCTGGGGGTGCAGCTCAGTAGTCTGTGCTTCTGATACACACTAAAATTTGGGAAACGATACCAGACCAATTAAATCAACAACCACAGGTTAGTTTCTGTGAAAGCACCATTCAAGTTCACAATCAAGTTTGTAGTCAAGTTTGAGGACCAGCACACTAAGCCGTCAGTTAAATATTTCAGATTAGCCCAGTTAATCTTGCCCAATAATAGCCATTTTACAGATGATGAAACAATTCAGAAAGGTTAAGTAACTTATCCAGGAGCTAGCAAGGTGTGAGTCGGAAAACAGGGCCCAGGGCTGCCTGACTTCAACATCTGTGTTCCATCCTTTACACACCTGCTGCTCAAGCTGTGCTCTGTGGACCAAAGGCATCGGCATCACTTGTGAGCTTATCAGACATGCTTATTATCAGGCCCTACTTCCCTTCCCGATCTCCTGAATTCCTTCCCCAGGTGTATTTTAACAAGCCCTCCAGGTGATTCTGACACATGCTCACGTCTGAGAACCACAGTTCTACAACCTTGCTACTCAAAGTTTGGTCTGTGGACCAGCAGCATCTGTATCATCCAGGAGCTTGTTAGAATTTCAGACTCTACTGAACCAGAATGTGCATTTTAACATAACAAACTCCTTAGTTGACTTGTATACACAGTAAGGCTTGAGAAACACTACTCTAGAACACTGGATCTTAAACTTGCCATACTCTAGAATTGTCTCTGATGCTTGGGTGCCCTTCCCAGAGATTCTGATTTAACTGATTTGGGGTTTAGCTTGGGGATCAGATTGCAGAAGCTCCTCGGGTGATTCTATATGCAGCCAAGTTTAAGAACCTCTCACTATTATGCCTGTGAATGTAGATGAGACTGAAAGTGATTGTAACCAGAGAGGGGGGTGTGGGAAAAGAAGGCAAAAAAAGCCTACCAGGTCCAACAGGAATTCAGAAGATTAAGACTCCGCCCCATGATGAGTCCCTCCCAGTTGAACAGCGTATATAAGACCCAGGAAGAAATCCGGCTGCGCCAGATGACTGCCCAGCCATCTGGTGCGCATCTGCAAGTCCTGGACCCTTAATATCCACAAGGTGATACCCACAGATTTATCTTCTGCAAAAATACTGAGCCAGGCTAGCATCTGGGGTCTGGTCCAGCCAGTGTCCCTCCCGTTTGTAAGCTTTGGTGTCCCTAGGGCTCAGTTCCAGTTTGAGAGGAGCTCCTGGGTCTGGGAGTGCTGTGCCTAGAGAAATTGGCCTGGTTATTACCATCCTGGGGTCTCAACCCTCCCTCCGTTCTCTTGAAGCACTGGCAGGGGGTTGAGGTTGGAGGAAACATAAGAGGAGAACTTGGTTAGAAGAAGGCAGGCAAGGTGGGGGATGACAGTGATGATAGCTCCTCAGTGGTACTTACTGTAGGCCAGCCACTTTTCTGGGGTGCTTTACTTACATTATTTTACCTGAGCCCCGCAAGTATTATATGAAAGCAGTATTAATACTCCCACTTCACAGATCAGGAAACTGAGGCATAGAGATGTTAAGATCCTTACTCAGCATCATGGTCAGTAAGTGGTAGTACATGAATTTGAACTCCAGAGCTGGTGCCTTAACACTAAGCTATACACTGGGGTGGCGGGAACAGGTGCTAAGACTTAGAACCCCTGTGTAAATGCAATACGTAGAGCACAGAGGGGTCCACCTGCTTAAAAACATCTCCACAGTGATACATGACCCAGCAGTGTGCCCGGAGTCACCTATTAGCCTTCTTTCTCTCGTTTTTAAAAAGTCTCTTAGCGTTTACATTAAATGGCAAATATGCTATTGAGGGAGAAGCATACGAGTCCTTTTTGCCCATTATCATAGCATAAATTCATTCGTTGGATTAGCTGGCTGGGCCAGCTGGAGGAAGATTTGGAAATGTCTGGAGTTGATGGTGTGGTGGTTGGGCTGAGTGTGTGTGTGTGTGGTGGTGGGGGGGGAAATGGGTGTTGAAGAGGGCTGTGTAGATCTACTGCCACCTGGTGGTTACTGCTCAGAAGTGGCAGTCACTGCCACCAAGAGGCCAAGCGCCATGTTCCCAGAAGACCTGAGCACCTGTTTGGCCTCAAGCCAAACAGACAGAGGAAATTTACTCTGTTCACGTGGTTTTGTTTGGTAACATTTGCAAAGCAAAGATATTTTTGGACTTTTCTTCTTCAAAGGGCCACTACGATTATATAAGCTTTCAGGCCCCACAAAACCAGCATCTACGCCGCCTGTCATTTCTATAAAAAGTCACAATTCTTTCTCAGGCCAGGAGGAATATTCCAGGGACTCTGCAGTGAGGAGTTAACGGAGCTCGGTACAAACTCAGCATGAGCCTGCCTTGCTCTGACCTTGCTATTCAAAGTGTGGTCTTTTGATGTGATGACCAGCTGTCCAGGTTTTCCAGGGCTGAGTGGTTCCCTCAGATGTGGAACTTTCAGTGCTAAAACCAGGAAAGTCCTGGCAAACTTGGGCGAGTTGATTACTCTTGTCTACAGACCAGCAGCACTGGTGTCAGCCGGGAACTTGTTAGAAATGCAGAGTTTCAGGCCTCACCCCATACCTACTGAGTCAGAATCTGCATTTTCCAAGAACCCCAGGAGCTTCACATTAAAGATGGAGGTGGGGAGGGTAGAGCTCAGTGGTAGAGTGTGTGCTTAGCATGTACAAGGTCCTGGGTTCAATCTCCAGTACTCCATTAAAAAACAAATTTAAAAATAAGTAAATAAACCTAATACCTCCCCACCCCACCTCCCAAAAAGCACAAACAAACAAACAAACAAACAAAGATGGAGTGCTCTACCCTCCTCAAGAAAAGAAGGGCTCATACCTTGCCTTCAAGGATCTCATCTTCTGCTGGGAAAACTCCACAGAGTAATTCTGATTGGCCTTTGATTTTGATAACAAAAGGCCAGGCCTCACTGGCTTCTGTTGCCTTGGCTACAGCAGGAGCTGAAGTGATGCAGACCTCCCCGGGGGGCAGGTGGGCATAAAGTGCTTCTCTCTCCTCTGCCTGAGCTGGAGTCTCCTTGGGGGCCAGACTGCTGTTTGCTGAAGAAATGAGCGGGCAGCAATGTGAAATGCCTTGAAAATTGCTAGGTGTGATTTAATTGTAGGTGTGATCGACAATTGTGATTTATTGCTCTTAAGCTTGGAAAGGTCAGAAATCATTATCATCATCACTCCCATTTATTGAGCAATTACTATACACCAGGCACAGTTTTAAGCACTCTGCCGGTATTACTCCCACTGACTCCTCACAACAAAGCGATATGGTGGATGCTATGATTATGCCCATTTGACAGATGACAAAGCTGAGGCCCAGAGGTTTGAAACAAGGGTCGATCAGTCGGTGGGGCACGAAGGACAGCCAGAACTGGAAGTAGCCAGAGGCATGATGGGGTGGAGGATTACTTTCATTCAACCACAGTCTTCTCCCTTTGGGTGTTTCTGGGGAAAGCCTCTGGGAAGGAGGGCTGGATTGAGCAGGCAGCAAAGGAGTGCTGAGATCACGGTATCCTCATTTGCCCTAACTTGGCTTTATTTATCTATGCTGATCACTAGAAAACTCTACAAGCCAGCTCTGGGTGTGGGGAGGCAGAGATAAGAGGCCAGTTCCAGCCTGAAGAGGCCCAGCTGGCCAGACTCAGCCAAGTCAACAGAGTTACAACATCAACACACTCACCATGTGAGAGACAAGCTTAGGGAGGGAGCAGGTCCCGGGGGCACATCCTTTGGGTCTCGATGGGTGTGTGCTGGGCTGAACCAGCCTGGAGGTGAGAGGTGGTGCTCCTGCCCTATCCTTGAACACCCCACTCCGTGCCCTTCATCCTCCCGGGCCTTGTACTGTGGATTGAATAAATACTATTGTTTTCTTCTTCTGTTAGAGCAACCGCTAATGGTTCCCTGATCCTGGCTCCCTGCCAAAGATGAGGAGCTGTATTCGTGATTTCATCAATCTGCTGGGGTTTTTCACCTACCAAAGCTGTTCTGCTACTGGAGATGCTCTTGCTCTTTTTGTCTGATAAACTCCGAGGCACTATTTACAAAGATGTGGGCGGAGTGTAGGAAACCACAAGGGGTGGCGTAAACCCCGTGCCTATTGCCCTGTTTGGGCCTGCAGGGAAGGGAGTAGCAGTGACTGGAACCTGGTGAGAGAGCTCCGGATGAGACCTGTGACTTTTTCTTCCTGGATTGTATGGGGAGGGAGCCGGAGAAGCGAGACGGACTCACTCTCCCTCTTCCTTCTAGACCCTGGCGAATGCCTCCCATTGGCAGTACCAAGTGGAATCCAACTGGAAACAGAGGGCAAGAGGCTGTAGGATGCAGTCCTAGAAGTTAGCCTCTGGGAGGCACAGGGCAGGGTGAGGGAGGGCGCAGGGTGGGCGTGGCTCTGGGAGGGGAAGTAGAAAGTGTTCAGCACAAGAACGTATTGAACAATGTTGTGGGCTGAATGGTGTCCCTCCAAAATCCATACCCTGAGGTCTTCGCCCTCGGTACTGTGTTTAGAGATGGAGTCTTTAAAGAGGGATTTAAAAGGAAGCCATTACTTTGGGCCCAAATCCAACATTGACTGGTGTCACAAGAAAAGGACACGGGCACCTACAGAGGGAAGACCATGTGAAGACAGGGCAGAAGACATCCAAGGAGAGGGGCCTCCCAAGAATCTAGCCCTGTCAACACCTTGATCTCTGACTCCCGGCCTCCAGAACGGTGAGATAAAAGATTTCTGTTGTCTAAGCCATCCAGCCCGTGGCACTTTGTGACAGCAGCCCTACGAACGAGTACAACCAGTGAGCTCTTCAGCTCATAACGTACCCGTTATGAATTTGCCTCTCGATCTCCTCCACTGGACAGCCAGCTTCTCTAGGGCAGGTAGGTGCTTAAATGTTTGTGGGATGAATGGATCATTTAACAAGGAAATAAAACATTCAGGCAATTTATGAAATACCATCAAAATGCCACAGTCCCAGGTGGTAATCAGTGGGTTACAGGACACAACAGCAACAGTGATGCGGTAAAAGCCACTAGACTTGTCTGTCACTCAGAAGCACTCACCAGGTGCCAGGCACTGCGATCAGGGCTTTACAAGAATGAGCGCTTTTACTCTTGCAACAGGCCACTCAGATAGTCGACATTGCCAGATGTCAGGTGGGGAACTCGAGACTTGAAAGCCTACATAATGTGCCCAAGATGAGATGACTGGTGGCCACATCTACAATGCGATGCTTGGGACAAAGTGGGGCTGAATGATCCTAGTGGAAGGAATGTGGCCTTTTGGAGAGTTTACAAGCTCTATTTCCTTATCTGTAAGATTGTCAGGACATGACCTATAACCTCAGGTAGTTGAAAAATTGAAGGAGATAATCTAGTTCCCTGGTGGAGTGCATGGCCTGAATGTATCAGCTCCCTGCTGCCTTGAGAGGCCCGGATAAGACAGAGAACCTCTACCATCCATCCTGCCTGCCCCCAGCTTCCCCCTATATGGTGAATGAATGCTCCCCAGGATGCACACTTCCTGTTGCAGCCTCAGAGGGTTCCCCCTCCATCTTGCTCCTACATCTTTATGGTCCCTGACTCTACCCTCCAACATTCTGTTCTCAGTCACAGAAGCCTGAAGTATGATACTGGAGAGGAAACTTTAAAGGCTCAGAAGAAGGGACTTCCCCAGGAAGATCGAGTGAGAAAATCGCCACCATGCAGTTTATCCTCCATCGAGGGTTTGGGTCTTTGGCTCCCCTCCCTGAACTCGGAATAAGCCCTTCTAATTCTTTCGCAGCAGTAACTGGGTAACTGCTGTGACCTGGGGGGCAGGCCCGAGTGGGAGAAGGGAAGTGTGTCTGTGGTCTGGGCTGGCAGCTAGCTCTGACTGGGACAGAATTAGAAACTTGTTATGAAGCCTCGGAAGACTATATTTAGCTGGGAGCGTGTTTGCTCTCCCTGGAGCAGTCTTGTAGACCTTCCTAGGACTGAAAAGTCGGAGCCTGCACACTTGGGTCAGTGGCCAGAGCTGCGCTCTCTCTTCCCTGTTCCATAGGTCCTGAGGCAGCAGTGAAACCCACCTCTCAGCCCTGGGTCTCAGGCCACCCTGTCCTCTGCCCCTGGGGCCCGTTTTGTCTGACCTCCTCAGTCCGCCAGTCTCCAGCTGAAGACAGAGCAAAGGAGGCATTGGGGGGTCCTGTAAAGGACCTAGGTGGGGCAAAGCCCAGCTTTGTCAGTTACCTGTCAGATGAGTTACTTGGCCCCTGTGGCCTCACATTCTCATCCATAACCAGGATAATAGTAGCCACTTGTGGGTAGGTGTGTAGATTCAGTGAGCTAAACAAGAACTGCTCTATTCCTCTCCTCCACCTCTCCTGCCTCCCATGTCGCAGGGAGGACTCTGGGATGACTTAATGCTCTTTCTTGCTGACAAAGATAGTGGGCTCCCGGGAGGTATTTTGTGTGTATGTAATTTAAAGCATTTCATTGAATTAAAAAATTCAAATATGCATATAAACTCTTCACAGGTTAAACTCCGAGGGATACATAAAGAAAAAGGTTTCCCTTCCGCTCCGGTAATCTCAATGGAGATAACCAGTGTTCACAGCCCTGGGTGTCCTCCCACGGAGTTTCCATTCTCATACAAACACAAACACATGCAAAAGGGGTTTTCTTATTTCTTTTAACAGGTTAGGATCCCATTCAAGGTGCCTCTCGGCAACTCCCTTTTTCATTTAACAGTAAGCCACGGGCATTCATCTAGGTAAATACATATGATCCAGCTCGTTCATTTTAATAGCTGCATAGGATTCCATGGGACATATGAAACATAAATTTCCAGTTGATGCATTGAGTGGGTGGGGAGCGCTACGAACAATGCTGCCATGACGACCCCTGCACAAATATCCTCGTGAAATTGTGCTTTAATTTCTATGGGGTACTTTACCCGAAGTATGATTATTGGGCAAAAGGTAACCCAGAAAGTTTACTTTCCCCGGATTTTTGAATTTGTTTGTTCCGGACACTTTCACTTTTCAAGGTCCAGGGAGCAGCTAGCTAGCGACGCCTCCCGGGGAAGAAACACTGGTTGCCGTAGCGTCCCTATTAGAGCGGATGCAGGTGACGCTCCAGGGCCAAAGGATTTAGTGGGGAGCGCTAAACTGCAGGAGACGGAGGACGGAGGCTTGGGCTGTAGGGTGACCCTGGGCAGGTGACGTCCCTCCCGGAGGCTTGGTTTCCTTCTGCGTAGCCTGTGACTCCAACCAAAACGAGGCGCAGTTCGTGCCTGGAGCTGGTGACCCCTAATCTCTGCCTTATGGATGCCTGAGCCAGTTGGCTCCCCCCAGGACTGCGGCTGCCCCTCCCTCCTTCCTACCTATCATCTTCCCTCCGCGCGGCCCCATCTTCTCGGAAGGAGTTGGCTTAGTAAGGTCAGATGAAAAGCAACCATCACAATTAACCCCTCCCCTGGACTGGTCATTTAATTGCTTCACCCGAGTTTTGGCTCCCTCCCTCCCTGGAGGCTCGGCTATCGAGTGCTCCCGTCTGAACCTAGCGCGGAGCCGAGGGCGCGCCGGCTCGGCCATCCTTTGCTTCTTCCTGGCCCCGCCCTCCCGTGGGGGCCGCGGTGGCTGCACAGCGCTCCTTGGCTCGGTCCGCAACCTACGCCCACTTCGCCTGCCGCGGGCGCTTCCGGTTCCGGTTCCGGTTCCTGTACCTGGAGCCGCGCGAGATCTGAAGCGTCCGGCATGGCGGGGAGCCGGCTGGAGACCGTGGGGAGCATTTTCTCGCGGTGCGTGCTCGGAGCCGCTGGGGGCCGAGGGCACTCCGCCTTTCGCGCTCTGGGTGGGCCTGAGCCGCCGAAGCCTCCCTCGTGCTCTCTCCTGCCTCTGAAGGGTTGTGCCTGACGACGTCACTCCTTGAACTTCTTAGCTTTCACGTTCAAGATCGCACCTGTCCCCTCCGCCAAGGGAGGTCTCTAGGAAGGGGCTGATGGGCCTGGCCGAACCGGCTTTGCATGTTTCTTAACGAGACAGGGATAGGGCGAGGGGGTAGGACGAACATAAGAATGGAAGGATTAACCCCTGAGCACTGTTAGGTTGGCTTGGAATATGGAAACATCTTACCTGTCGGTGGGAATACCTGCTCTGCCCTCCTTCTGTTGTTTTCCGGACGCTGCGGTCCCCCAGATGCCCCAGGCTGCGGCTACACTGATTCAGGGGCTCAGGCTGTCACTGACCTTCGTTCTTTACCCTCCCTTAAGGACGCGGGACCTGATTCGGGCTGGGGTGTTGAAGGAGAAGCCCCTGTGGTTTGACGTATATAACGCCTTTCCCCCGCTGAGGGAGCCGGTCTTCCGAAGGCCCCGCTTGCGATACGGCAAAGCCAAAGCTTCCATCCAGGACATCTTGTACCACGAGGATCGGATTAGAGCGTGAGTGCGGAGCCCATATGATGGACAGGAGGCAGCAGAACGTCAGAAGGAAATGTTTAGCCAGCAGTCTGGCAACTTAAATAGGAATGGAGTCGGGGCTTGCCCTGTGAAAAGGTCTTGTCTATCTAGCCAGATTAGGGAATCAGTGCCCCTCTCCCATGTGAGAGAAACGAAAGTTCCGAGAAGTAGAACCTGCAGCCCAGCAACCGATCATTTCTATTTAGCTACCTGTGTCTGCGCATCTGTTTGGTGGCAGGCACTATGCTAAGCCCTTAGCAAACATCTGCCTTAGGCCTCTAATCCTGTGAGATAGGGATGTTCGTCTTCATTTTAGTCATGAGGACTGGGGGCCTCAAGGAGGTCAGCTTAGTGGGAATTCACTGACAAAGCCCTTTCCCTCAAATACTGATGTCAAGTTAGTTTTTAGTATCTAGAATTTTTACAGATTGTTTTTAAGTGTTAAGATCAGAGATTGTGCCTAATTGAAATTAATACCTATTCCTCATTTTCACCCCTATTTCTCGTTGTAAGGAAATAGTTTATAAAGTCATCGTATTTATTGGGGTCTAGGCACCTTTCATTTGAGAAATATTCTCCCCACCCCCACCCCAAACAACACTCCTTTGAGGTGGAACTGGTGTGCTCCAGCTCTACTTGGAAATTTTCAGGGTAGGGAATTTTCAGAGATCTTTGGGACACTGTATACTTTCCCAGCTTTTTTCTGCCTACATTTATTGCGTGCACTTGGTCAGGATGCTTTCAGGTCATTTATACATTAAAATCACTTGTGCTCTTACCCTGTGTGTAGCAGTGGAGCTAGGTGATGGTCATTGGAGAATGTGGAATATTTTATTGTTCCCTCTTTCTATTACTGTTAGTGCCAAAATAATAATATCTTAAATAATTTTTTTGAACCTTTATCTTTTTGGCTTTTTTGTTTGTTTCTGGTGTTTTTTGGTATTTTTAAGAACTTATAATAACAAAATACATTTCAGGTGTATCAAAACCTAAGTACAGAAAGTGAAGTCATAAAAGTACCAGAAGGAAATATGGGAGAATTTAAAGAAGAATCTGGGTGATAAAAGCCTTTCTTAGCATGACATAAAACCTAGAAGCCATAAATGAAAATATTAAGATTTTTTGCACACAAAAAACATAAGCAAAATCAAAAGTCAGCTGACATACTGGGAAAAAAGTTTGGAACACATATCACAGAGGGCTGATTTCCTCTTCATACTGCTGTCGAGTTTGCTTATAGGTCAATAAGAAAAAGACCAAAAGGAAAAATGGGCAAAGAATGTGGACAGGCCACAGAGAGGGAAATTCATTTGCTTTTAAACATGGAAGGATGTTCAGTCTGTTTCAAAAGGAAAAGCAAACAATATTGAGCTACACTACTTCACCTGTCAAATTGTCAGAGATCAAAAAATTGGAAAATAGAATTTGATCCAGGGTATGGGGAAGTAGGTAGTCCTCTACTTACTGGTGTGGGTGTAAATGGGCACAGCTCCTTTGGAAAGCACTGTGGCAATTTGGAAGGCCAAATTACAAATGCCTATACCTTGACCTAGTGATAACTATTTTTATGAATTTATTCCACAGACTTATTTGCCCAGTGCACTGAGAAAGATAAAGGTAGTCACTGCAGCAGTATCTAAAGTAGCAGAGGACTAGAAATAATCTGCATGCACCAGTTTGGAATGATCTCTAAGAAATGCTAAGTAAAAAGGCAGGATGTGCTCACCATCCCTGGGGTTAGACAGCGTGGCTGGGGATGTGGCTGGGGACAGGGATTGATGGATGTGTGTGTGGTTGTACATTGCTAGAGCATCCCTGCGTAGTGTTGCTTCCTGGGAAGGGAACCTGGAGTTCAGAGGTGAGGAGGAACGTTACTTTTCACCTTTCTGGAACAGAAGATGTATTTACCGTGTGCATGCAGTGCTTATTTAAAACACAAACAAAAGCTGTTAGGCTCAGGTTCTGTAGGTCACCTTGTCCTCAACTCCTCAGGGCCCAGCAGTTATTCGTTACTCCATTCTTGGCCATGATCTATAATTGGAGATTTATATTGTGTTTTGTGTTTTCTAGGAAATTTTATTCCACGTATGGATCTGGTCAAAAAGCTTTTGATCTGTTCAATCCAAACTTCAAGTCTACCTGTCAAAGGTAAGCCATTTTACAAGTCCTGGGTTACTTTTTTTTTTTTTTTTTTGAGGATTTTGTTGTTAGTTTGAGGAGTTTTGTTGAATTCCACTTGAGGGAAAAGATGTTTCTATTGGAAGATGTGTTACAGGAGTGCTTAGTGCTGTGTGTAACAGCACATCTTGACAACTCCCAGTACACAGCCCTAAGATGTGACTGCTCGGACTTCTAGGTTTGTGGAGAAATACATTGAGCTACAGAAACTTGGAGAAACAGATGAAGAGAAGTTGTTTGTGGAAACAGGGAAGGCTTTATTGGCAGAAGGTGTCATTTTACGACGAGTAGGAGAAGCAAGGAATGTGAGTATTTTATTATCAAAATTGTCTAATTTGCCAGAGGTTAAAGGAAGGAAGGCTTGATTTTCTTTCCCCAACCTTGGCTCCAGGTCAGATACTATTGGATCAAATATACTAGAACTTTGTGGTAAGGACTGCTGCTTGGAATAAGTAACTTGTCGTGAGGGTTTTTGAAATTGTGATTCTGTAGAGGTTTTTAAAATCATGTTTATTGTTTGTCGTAATAGAATTTGACCTGAGATAACAGTGTTATATTTTTGACTCTGTGATAGAATGTGTCTGTCACATAGCTTCAGCCAGTTAACTGAGTGAAAATGACATCCCTGTGACGTTCTTATGTCTGGTCTTTTAAGCAGCAGGAAGGTAGCAGGAAGGCTGAACCCATGGGTGTCAAACCCCAGTCTGTGTTGGAAGAGAACCAGCCTCTGACAGAAGTTCCACGGGACCAGCATTTGGAGGCACCTGGAGAACAGGAAAAAGGCCTCTCACCTCCCTGAAGAGCTCCGTGTGCTGTGTACACTGACAGCCAAGCCGGATGCACAAGATGAACGTGGAACTATTTTTAACAGTTGGACTGTGCAAATGTTGCTTGATCTCTAAGGCATTCTGTTTGCCTTCTTTTGGTTTCCCTTTCTAGGCTGTCATAAAGCTCTGTATCACGGTTGGAAAGAAGCAGTTATGTGAACTTTTATGTTTGGACGGTATTAAATGAAGAACTCCCTAGTGCTTATAAAGTAAATTTATTCTAAAACTGTAAATTGCATTAGGAAGCCTTTGTAAGAATTGTTTGAGTGGGACTCATTCTGCGTAGGTTTGCTTCAAGTTCTATGTTCGCATTTGATTCGCTGCTAGGTTTCTTGTCTCTGGATCCATCAGACTTCCACTTGGATACACCGCGTGGTTCCCTGGCCAGCTGTGTCTGTCTGCAGATAACCTTTGTACTTTTTGTTTGAGAGGCCAGGCTGACCTGTGCTTTGCAGTAAGAGTAAGAACCTATCCCTGATGGTAGGCAAAGGCAAAACTGTTAAGTTTAATCTCACGGATTGAGTGCTGGAGACAGCATACAGATGCACAGAGTAAGCCACTCAGTAACGATTTATTGAATGAAGGAGTGATTACATCCAGCTAAAGACTGAATTCCGATGACATCTCTGTGGGTAACTGCGTTGCCAGGAGGAGCGGGCTGATGTAGGTGGTGTGTCCCACCAGCATCCACCTGCCTCTCTGGCGTCAAGCTGTGCTGATGGGTTTTTACCACTGTCTTGCTTTCTGTAGCTCCGTATCTTTTACTAAATAAGTGAAATGCCCCTCAGCTGTCAGTGGTCAGCTGTTTGTCGTAAGCTGCTTCAGAAGTGCCTCATTTTAAAACACGGGTAGCTTCTCTCCCCCGTTGCTCTTCGGGTCATCTCTCCTGTCTCCTGGCAGGTTGGGGGCGGGGCCGCAGAAGGAGGGCAGAGCAGGTGTTCCCACCTACAGGTAAGATGTTTCCATATTCCACATTCCAGCCTGTACACCTCCCTGCACGTGGTGCTCAGGTAATGGAAGGCAAGTAAGTCCATGAGGCAAAAGCCATTCTCAGCCATGCTGCCTCCCCACCTCCCTATCACTGCTTTACAGTTCGTGTTAAGGGGACGCTTTGCTTTTAGTTGGGGAAGCAAGTTACATCCATTCCACATTAGGCAACCAGTGGGTGCCAGACCCCCGGCCGGACCTTAGGAGGGGGCTTAAGCAGGTGGAGGAGACTGTTCTGTTCTCAGAGCAACAAGCAGCGGTCACTCATTACCTCGCTACTCCTTATCCTTTTGGGATTTAAAAGATGGATTTTTTTGTGATAGTGATGAAGATATTTTAAAGTCATTTGTTGCCTAATTAGAGAAAAAATTATACATGGTTTAATATTTAAATTGAAATGGTTCAATTTGGCCCATGGTTCAAAATTTAAATTGAAAAGCCAGCCTCTCTGTACCCCGTCCCCCGGCCACCCCTTTTCCCTTCCCTGGGGCCACCACTATCACCTTTTTCTTTCCAGAAATAATTTTGAGCACATACAAGGGGACCCAAGCACACTGTTCTGGACCTTGTTTTCCACTTAATGTCTCAGAGATCCTTTGTATGGACGCACAGCAAACCTTCAACCTAAAATCCCAGTCGCCAAAACCTTGTCAAAGGTGTGAAGCTTACTTGGGGGTTCAGAACTCCTCCCACGATCCGTGGGGGCAAAAGCCATCACCAGGTCCCTACAGTGTTTGAAGAGAGTGTGAGCGTGAGTGCATTCTTGGCTTTGAGGACCTTAAAATCTAGGTGGGAAGATAAGAGTGACTTTCAAAAATGTAAAATGAACAGGAATACTTTTAATTATGAAAATGTGCAGAGTCAGGGAGAAGGACCAGCTCTGAACTAGTCCAGGACCACTGCCTTGAAGGGGGGTGGGATTTGAAGTGTGCCTGCTGTTCCTTCTGCCGGCAGCACACTCCCTGCCACCAGGGTCTTTAGAAACCATACCTCCACTGCCCCTTTCAAATGGTATCTCTGCTCAGAAGCTTCACCAACGTTCACATCAAGTCTCAGGTCCCAGCTGAGCCCCTTCCAGGCTACGCTCACCTGCTTCGCTGCAGTCGGCACCCCGGGTCCACTGTTTACTTCCCTGCCTGCCTGACCCTGGTCTTCTTTCCAGAGGGAACCGTCCTCTCCCTATTCAGCATGTGAACAAGGGCAGAAATTCTTACTTTGATCTGCTGGAGCGCTAACTCAGGAGTAGACCCTCCACGTGGGTTTGCTGAGCTGAAGCCAAGGAAGGCATGTGTCCAGGCGATGGTGGAGTTTGCACGAGTCTGAAGGTCTGGGTTCTAGTTCTGGTTACTCAAGTTTTTACTGATGTGACCTTGTGCCTGTCACGGTCTCTCAAACTATGACAGGGGTGGTGATGTTTGCCTCTTTGGCTTCCAGTTAGCACTGGGAGGATTACTTGAGATAATAAATACAAAACTCACTTGTAATATGTGTAACAGGTGCTTTTCTTAACTCTTGAGGAGGAGTGGAAAACAGGCTTGAGCAGATAGGGTGGGATCAGATCCTGGTGGTCTCGATAACTACTCAGAGGGGCTCAGTGGGTATAAGAAAGTTGGAGCATGGAAATAACGTAGTGAGAACAGCGTCAGGTGGAAGAAGATGTGCCCAGATGTGACAAAGAATGGGGTTGGGGGAGTGGGCAGGCAGGGAGGGAGGGAGGGAGGGAAGAGGAGACCACGACTTTGATCTCTGCAGCCATTCCCCTTGGAGGCAGGGACTCCAAAGTTTCAGATCTGAGTGACCAGAAGAATAGTAACATCGGAGGCAGGGGAGGGCTCAGTGGTGGAGCGCGTGCTTAGTATGCACTGAGTCCTGGGTTGAACCCCCAGTACCTCCACTGAAAAAAATAATAAATAAAATGAAAGAAGCCAATCTGAAAAGGCTACAAACTGTACGATTCCAACCAAATGACATTCTGGAAAAGGCACAGCTACAGGAACCATAAAAAGATCGTGGTTGGTTTCCAGGGGTTTGGGGAGAGGGAGGGAGGGAGGAATGAATAGATGGAGCACAAGGGATTTTTAGGGCAATAGATGGAGCACAAGGGATTTTTAGGGCAATGAAATTATTCTGTATGATACTATAGTGGTGGCTACATGTCATTATGCATTTATCAAAACCCATAGAATGTACAACATCAAGAGTGAACCCTAATGTAAACTATGGACTTTGGTTGATAATAATGTGCCCATGTTGATTCATCAGTGGTACCAAATACGCCACACTGATGAGGGCTGTTGAGGGTAGGGGAGTATACATATATATATATATATATGAGGATGGGGAGGGCTATGTGCGAACTCTGTATTTTCT